ATATAAATCTCTCATTCCTTCACTCTTTTCAAATAGTATATTTATCATAATGTAGTAATTTGTGATAAAGTAAACTATGCTTTCGTGTAAATGACTTTTGACAAATGTCACAAATATAAGGATGCTCTCCAGTATGTGTAAGAACATGCCGCTTAAATGTTCCAAAATGGTGGGAAGAATAGGAACAAACATTGCAAAAGTGAATCCTGAAACTAGGTGTATGTTTCATAAATTCAGAACTTGTTCTTTTGCAAGATATCCCTGTGAACAGAAATATATAGATATATATATATATATTCATATAAAAATACATATGCATACATATTTAAACTTATACACAGCAAAGGTTTCATAAATAAAATTCAAATATTCTAATACATATATTTGTCTTCATATGGAGGAAAGACTCACAAATTCACTTTTTTTTTTTTTTTTTTTTTTTTAATATGACAAAACATACTTCACCACAAAGAAAAGCAAAACTGATTAAATCATGAATGCATAAAACACATGAATTAATTACATGAATGCATAAAACACAGCTACTAATGCAAAATAAAATAATTTTTCTATATTACTTTTCCTCGTATACTTATTTGCTTAGTCAAAATAATAATTTGTATTCATAAATTTAGCATTTCTCATAATAAAGTAAGTAAGTGACTACATTTACAATTGTCTCAAATTTCAGGTGAGTTATCAAAAGCATTTGTTATTCAAAACAAAGTTTGACTTTGAAAATGTGAAATACATGTAAAGTATGTTTCTTCTTAAACTATTTACATAGAGAGACACATTAAATGTTATCAAATGCACTTTGGAAGAAAGTATCAAATCCTTGAAAAATTATAATGCATCTTTCTTCTTTTAAAAAAGAAGGCTTCTTGAGGCTAAGCATTCTTCAAAAGATATTCAAATAGAAAATTTTAGATAGTGCCACTAAAATTAAATGTTGCCTTAATCATTTTTTTAGTAATGTCTGTGTGGTTGACAAAGTCCTTGTCAATCCTGCAGCTGGTACTAATATTCTAATAACCGATATGCTGGGGGATCTGAAAGCTAAAGGACTCTACATAACATGCAAAGTACCACACACTACAAATGCTTCCACGTTATCTTGCAGAAGCATCATGGAGATTTGTTAATAAGTGTGATGATTCATTTTAGCCACGTTGCATGCCTTTCATAATGGATATGTCCGAATGACTCATTAAAATGGCGATTTTTGAGGGCATCCCAGCTTTTGTTTTGCACAATTGGAAGGAATTTTAATTTAATGGAATTAAAACAGAAGGGCTATTAATTTCATTTTGACATTTTGCGTCGATTCACTTTTCAGACTGTTGCCACCAACTATTACAGCCCTGTATTATAGTTAAGGAAATTAAATAATGAAGAATCTACATGAATGTATGTATATTTCTCCCAATGTGATAAAACAACGGTACCCAGAGTCATCAAATTTTGAATATCGTATGAAAGCCCCAATTTGGAATTTCTTTTATTATCTATTTCATATTTTGTCAAACATTAAAGAATTTTTTGTTAAGAAACTCAATGGTTTCAAAGCAAGGAATGGCAACACTGTACAGGGGAAAAAAATCATTTTATCTCCAACACGCGAGACTGTGTATTGGAAATTCTAAGGATATGCTGATTTTAAAATTATTTTGCGATATTGCTGTTGAACTGAATTTTATGGTTTAAGTGCGAAGAACATGATATTTAATAAATAAGGGTAACACACAAAACATTAAAAAAAAACGCCCCTTTGGCGTTATGTAAAATCTGAAAGCTTTTTTTTTTTTTTTTTTTATTTTCATATTTAAAAATAGTGCTTTAGTGGCACCATATAAGAAATAATTAACTAATTAAAAGTGGTAGTTTGCATACACTATTACCTGCTTTTTCTTATTTTTTCATTTTATGTTTCATACCATTAAAACTGAAAAGCTTTATTTTTATTTCTTAAAAAAATGGTCTGCATATAAACTGCTAAGTTTGTCGGTACTGACACTCTTTATTGAAATTAAAAGTGGCAATGCATACTTTTCAGGTTTTATGTTATCTCACTCAAAAGCATCAGAATTTTTATTTATTTACTTTTGCTTGTTTGAAAAACACTGCTTCTAATTTGCTTAAACTTTTAAAAGAAAATATTAGACTGGATGACTTCTGGTGATAAGATTCTGATTACAAGATGATAAACTGATCGTGAAATTAGATCAGAGTATCAAATCTAGTTGATGAAAATTTAAATACTGACTCCTCTGATAATGAGGAAATTATAATTACATCTGATGAAGGTTCAGCATTGGGTGGGGCAACTTTCTAGAAAGCAAAATTTTGTAACACTCTACAAAATAAGACAATATGTACACTTCAGGAAAAAGTAATGAAAAAAGATCTAAAATGTTAAAACAAGCAACAATAGAAATGATATTCCAAAAATATTAATAACATTAACAGGTGTATAAAATTACACTTAAAAATATAATGGTTTTGTACTGAAGAATTCTTAACATAAATTTATTAGTTATATGTATAGAAATAATCCAAATGCAGTGTAAAAATTTAAAATGGGGAAATGTTATGAAGTCTAAGGAGCCCCAACGATCATCGGTCCCATTTACACAATCCTTGGTCTCAAGGAGTGCAGATTAAAGGAATTCTACTACACAGGGTGAGCCAAAAGTTCATTGAATGTTTAAAAATTCATAAAAGAGAGAAATTATGATAAAGAAGTGCCATTTGCAAGAATAAAGAAAGGGCTCACAAGGAAGTCAGATTTTTTTCAGCAGCCAAAAAATTTTCAGTTAAAAATTCACTGGTATAGAGCACTCACATGTGAGAGAATCAGCAGAATTATCCAAATTAATCTTGCAATAAAAGACTGTGATACACGAGGATTTCTCGTTCGCTTTAAGAATGTTATCATTACCTGAGCGAGCCTTGTGGCTGAAGTTGTTCTGTTTAAATGGAGAGTCAGCAACTGTTGTGTTGCTAAAATTTCGCACAGCGAAAGGATTGAAGATGAAGAGTGGTCCCATATCCTGTTCTGGAATACTGAAGCTCGTCACACTATCTCTGCGGGATATTGTATCTCTATCCCTACAAATTGCAGTCACTGCATGAATTACAAGTGGGAAACACAGCTATGAGGGATTCATTTGTCGAGTGGGCTATGGCAAAAATTGAAAGCGACCCTCAGCGGTTGTTCAATGTTTTCTGAGCGGATGAAGCACACTTCACATTACCCAGAGATGTCAACACCCAGAACACTCCTATATGGGTAATGTCAAATTCTCATAAATGCATCACAATCATAATGAAGTCACTGCATCCAACCAAGTGGACAGTTTGGTGTGGCTTCACCTCATCTTTCATTGTCTGATCACTCTTCTTTGAAGAAACGTGTCCCATATTTGGCTGGAAAACATGCACAGTAACCACTGAGCATTATCTCACTCTTTTGCGTGACAAAGTCGTACGTACATTAAATCAAATAGCTGTTATCTGTAATAAGATTTATGCAGGATGGCACACCGCTACACTATGCTAATCTAGCAAAATGATTCCTATTTACTACCTTTAGTAAAGACAGAGTGATCAGTCGAGGTTGAAATACTGCTTTTGCAATCAACCGATTACACTGTGGTCGATTGCTGGTTACGGGGCTATTTGAAATCACTTGTGGAACGTTCAACCTCTTCAACACTGGCCAAACTCAAAGATTCTATCTTTCATCAGGTTTCTGCATTTCATTCTAACATGTCGCATTCAGCCGTAACGGGCATCATAAGTCGCTTGAGTTGTGCCGTACAATGTTCTTTAGGACATGTTAAACCAATTGTTATTGCAAGAATAAATGAATGGAGTGTACTGTTGTCCTTTCCATTGTGTTTCGGATCATCAGTGCCTTCTATCGGTAGCATTTTTAAATAATTTTTTTTTTTTTTTTTCTGTTAAAAAGCCCAACTTCCTTGTGAGCCCTTTCTTGCAAACTGTACTTCTTTATCATAATTTCTTCCTTTTTTTTATGAATTTTTAATGTTTTAATGAACTTTTGGCTCACCCTATACAGATACATAAAGTGGTGAAAATTATTTGAAATTTCATTGCTTTCATAATATTTGTACTTAAACCTACATGTAAAACAAAATTATTATTCTACAATTTACATAATGCATTAATACAGAATAAAATTAATTATGCTTCCATATAAATGACTTCAAGATAGCATCACAAATGAAGGTGCTTTCCAAAATACATAAGAATACGCCACTTTGGTGTTCCATAAAAATCAGAACAAATATTGCAAAATGATCTTGTAACCAGATATATTTGGTATCCAAATTCTAAACTTGTTCTTTTACAACAGTCCTGTGAATAAAAATATGCAATATACACATTTGAATTTATATACAAAACAAAATATACATATTTCATAAATAAAATGCCCACATATATCAGTTGCAGATTTCAGTGCTAAAGTAGTACATGGCAAATACTTTTTTTACAGTTTACAAAAGAAAATTAAATCTCAAAAAATTAAATTTAAAAAAAATCTGATTTAATTTTGCATGTAAATATAAAAAACATAACTAATGTAAAACAAAATTAAATGTAATTTTTTATACCATTTTCTTCTATTTCTTGTTGAAACAAATTTTAACTCATAATTATTAATTTGGCATTTTTCAAAACAATATAAATTCAAAAAATTATAGATATTTTAATCTTTCTTTAAAAAAACTTTTTTAATTAAACATATAGCTTCATTAGAGCATGTTATAAGATTATAAATATAAATTAGATATGCTTTCAAATTATTTATTTACATCGAGACTCAAAAATGCACATGACCAACCAAAGTATATACACCGACAGAAAACCGCCAAGGACTGATGACACAGCACTGATAGCAACCAAAAAATTGAAGGCAGAAAAATGTGGAAAGTGCAAAATGCAGCAAGACATGTTGTGCATATGCAAATTTGGGATTGATGAAGTTGTTTGTCACATGATGCGCTGATAAAAAAAAAAAAATACAGGAGTTAGATGTACTGACTGTTGCTGTTTAAAAGCAAAATTTAATGGGAAAGAATTAATTAACGAACTTGCAATTTTCATTAAATCTTCCCACTTAGGTGATTTTATGCATGGCCTATTATTGGCAAGACTGAAGAAGAGCAAATAACAGATGTTACTAGGTAGTTCCACATCAGCTGCAGTGCTGTTTCAAGGCTTTAGAAATCATTTCAAATAAATAGAATGTGTAGCAGACATCACAAAGGAGGTCGTGTTCACAGTCCGATGTCCGCAGAAGATAGGTAAATAGTGCTAACAACAAAAAGAAATGGCACACCACAACTATTGAGGTAAAGTGATCACATTTTCATTCACACAAAGGGAGAATTATAATTTAGTTATGAAAGCAGACCAATAATTCAAAAAAATATATTTTATTGTATACATTCATATACCTGTCTATAAATATACAAAAATATAATTATTATTAATTATTGGTAACTATAAAATATTTGTAAAAAACAAAAATTTGAACATTATGATTTTAAATTAATTAAAATTTTTTATTTACAAAAATTATGATTTTCTTTCATGGTCATATTTTTGTTCTGAGTGAGTACTTTGCAATAGATTTGGATCATTTATTAAAATGTCGTGAAATTTCTCACATGAATTGGTCAAATTATATTTTACGCTTAATATAGATTTTAAAGTTTTAATATTCAACTGTGTTTTTTTCAGTTGTCCATATTTCAATCGATACTAGAAAAAACACTTTCTGTTGCTGCATTTGTTCCCACGCATTCTACAGTTTTCAAAATATTTTGATACAGAATATTATTCTACTTAAAATGAAGGAATAACTTCATCCATTGTTTGTCTGTTTGTACATTTGCAGACAACCAACATTTAATATTTTCATCAGTAATGTATCTTCTTACCAATGACACCTCATCAAAAAGATCATTTTTGCAAATATTATTTTTTGGAAAATAGTTACTCATATATTCAAAAGATTTTTCCACATATTCCCATAAAATCTCTTTTTTTAAATGTCCCTCCTGTAAAAATTTTGAATATCCTCGAACTGAACTGTCCATTCTTCAAGATATTTAAAACAGTTATAAAAATTTCTGATTTCTTTCAGAAAATCCAGTCTTGTTCTTCCAACCTAGTGATGGCCTTTCGAATAACCAAAGAAACACAATCGCTATCAATTCATTCTCGAAATTTTGTTTTTAAATTACTGATTTCATTTGACACTTTCGTAATTGAAATTTTGTCCCATTCAATAATTTTCACAGCATTGTGAAAAGAATGTAGCTTGGTTGTGGATAAACTGAAGACAAATTTGTGATGTGTCATTTTCAAAAAACAGCTGCAATATTCTTGGACATTTATCTTGTGATAAAAAGTAGGATTTTAATGGTTCGTATATTTTAAAAATATATTCTACAGCAGGTAAAAGAGCTAGCCATCGTATTATGCTGTAACCAATAACTCTTTCATATTCGATTTCTGTGCTTTCACAAAAATCCTTCACACTTTCGACTAGCACAGTATATATATATATATAAATACGAATAAATTTTTGCAATAATATTTTTAACATCTACTGGAAATCAGTCAGATGCTGCTTGAATAGTATTGTGTAGAATGCGCGCTGCATAACCTACTCGAATAATTTTTTGGTTCAAACTTTCGTTAAGTTTCGTAAAAACGTTATTGATGCCTCTTCTACCTTTTCCACAAAAATTTGCATTAGTGTCAACAATAAAATTATTGCCTCACAATAAGCAATAATTTTAATGTTAAAATTATTCTTTTTTAAAATAATACTTATTGAATCAAAAATTATTTATGAAGTTTCACCCAGCAGCCACCCAGACGATATAATGGTTAGGGGAGCCTGATTGCGATACCGAAGGGCCTGGGTTCGAATCCCGGAGAAGGCATGGTTGTAATTCCCTTCATAGGTCCATCCCTTCATAGGAGGCAATGGTGGACCACCTATTAGGTGTCTCCATAATAAAGAGACCACCACATCTGGCCTTAGTATAGATTAATGGACTCTGTTACAAAATTGCAACTGTTCACAATCTGCCATTGGAAAAAAAAAAAAAGTTTCACCTGGCAATGAAACAGAATCTAATATTCTAATTTTAATTCCTGCTTCTGAATCAAACAGTCTAACAATTGTGGGAAATAATTTTAAATCTTTGTGGTTGGAAGCATCATAATGTATGGATATAAATGTGCATTTAAATCTAATTCTTTCTGCAATTGTGAAAACGAATATGGTGAAAAAACATTACAAATAATTGCTTCGGTTTTTGTCCTTGCACGTGCAAATTTTTTGTCGTACAATGTTTTGATCATATGCGACTTACAATCAATTGATCTGAAACTTTGATTTCGGTTTATGGTATGGAAAGCAAATAGCTCTTCAGCTAATGCTACATGTTCCACCGTTACACAACAATACATATTCCTTGATGAGACGTAATAATGATCGAACACCATCGAGTAAATCTAACTCATTACATCGCCTAATTTAGTTTACTCTGCATGCATTTTATGTGGTTTTTTATATTTCTTTATCACTATAATAATTAATAGGTACTATATTTTTATAGTACATTTAAAATAAGAAATGCAGATATTTTCTAAACAGGGGAGTGAGTGAGTGAATGAGAGATTATGGCGCAAAACCAAAGCTGATTATAGTGCGCCAAACGCGAGATGGGGTAAGTACAATTGATGAAATTAAAATACAATAAATAAAAACAAGTAGACAAATGTATCAAATCCAGAGGATGAAGTCATATAAAAACAAGTTAAAACCACACATTTAAAATTCAAGACACAATTTTCAAAACAAATTACATTAGGTGATAAAAGACAGTCTCTTTTAAATAATAAAATAAATTACAATTCACCTCCCTTCCAATTAAACGGTCGAGAGGTAAGTCACAGCTATTAAAATACTTCTGATGAAGATTATTAAAATATGGACGACATTTTTAAAAATCAGTGGGACGCGGGACAGTCCTCCAAAAAGCTGGACTGTTCCACCAAAATTGCGACATGTGGTCACTTCAGGCTACTGGCAGGCAAATCTCCCAAAAATTTGTAGCAAAGAGGACTATATGCCTGCCATCCTCTTGTATGCATTCCATTGCCTAGATTGCAATGATATTGCGAGCATTGTAATTGGACTCAACAGAACTGGGTTTGTGTACTATTCTTAGCTGAGAGTAGATTCAGTCTGTTACTGGATTATAGACTACAACTGATCTAACATGACAGATATCGCCCAGAAAATATCCTGAAAAGATGTTTCAAATGCTTTGGGGAGGAGTCTTGCTGGTCGACAATGCCTTCCAATAAACAAGGACACCCTCATTTGTGCACCAACAGAGGAATGGGGTAACAGGTGTTGGATAATGTGCAAAGTATGACATGACATGTGGAATCTTAAATTGTCCTCCATGGTGACTATATCCCGAACTAACATCTTATGACAGAATGTCTGCTGAAGGTAATTTTCATTTTTTTTTTTTTTTTTTTTTTTAAATTTTTCCATATTTAGCACAATATGACTATTTTGTCCCTTGAGCACTTTTCAAAGCCTTCTAGAATTTCAGAGCACAAAAATTACCTTTATTGCTATGTCCTAGTGTTCTGGCATTATTTTATTTCACTTGGCATACAAACACATTTTTTAATGCACTATTTAGCTGTTTGCGATCTGTCATTAGCAATTATCCAACAGTATATATATACATATATATATATATGAAGTATGAAACAAAATTATTAAACTCAATTGGCAGTAGGCCTTTAACCCATTAACCGCCAAAACTACACGAAATGATTCTTTTCTCATGAAAATAATAACAAATATTAAATTAAGCATTTATAACATAACTTTACACTGAAAACAAAAAAAAATGCTCTTACCTATGGGAAAAGCGAGTGTTGCATTTTCGCAACATCAGCGGAATAAGACTACGGATGTTTAGTGAGTAGGATTGTACTCGTGTGATGTTTCCTTTGAGTGGAGCACAGGATTACTTTTTAGCTGTATAACGTTTCAGAAATCTACAAATCACTTTACTTGTAATTAATTTAATATTAAAATATGCATTATATTTCTTTTACAAATACAGATTATTTCAATTGAAAGATTCAAGTATGAAAAGCTTCATTACAATCATGATGTAAAGCTACATTACATACTTTGCATCTATAAACAGTCTGGCTATGCCACTCTGTACAACGAAGTCTTTTGTTATCAACAGACGTTATGATAAAATGTCTGCCATCTCCATGCAATGGTTTTTTGAATGCTGAACTTACTAGGTCTTCCTGTTGCTGAGCTATTTCTGGCTAATTCTACACTCTCAATAGGAGTTTGCAAAAGGAATAATGCAATCTCGCATCTGAAATCTAAGAGACTTTATATTTCCAGTAGTAAAAAAATGGTGATATTTAGTAAGTTTAGATAAGGTCTAAACTCATATAATTTATCAGTATTGTCAATTTGACTATTGTCAAATGCAAATTCTGCTTCACATTCCTGTATTGCAAACGTGATATCGATTCTCGTACAACGGGACCAGAAATGTCCCTAGTTTTACCTTGTATTTTGTCTTTTATAATTTCTCTTCTATCTCTTTCTTTACGTTCTTCCTGAGACATAACTGACAGTTCCTTTTTTATCCACTTCAAGTTTTCAGTTTCTGCTTTTAAAACTTTTTAGTATGACTACAACTGCTTTTAGAAGGCTGAAACTTATTTCTTACGTGAATTTCAACTTCCCCAGCAGTATCATTTGGTAAAATATCATTATCATTATTTCAAACATTGTCATTCCCTTCTTCTTCATCACTAGCTTCTGGAATTTCTGGGGGAACAACAGCAATATCAGTTTCATTCTGGTCATTATTAACATTATCATCATCTGTTTTTCATAAAAAAATCTTTGAAGGACTTCTTCTAGTGTAAGATACCTCATTCTAGGCATTTTTAAAGCAGCCAGAACATGAACCAGAACATCGAAAGGAATGAGTGAAAAAGGAGATTGATTACCCGTTTCCTGCTGACGTTGCATCAGCGCAACACCTGTTTTCCCTTTCTTCCCAACACAAATATTAAACATCTGATTGATGTAATGTTCTGATAAACAGTGACCTTGACTAAAAATAGATCACTCATAAAGACGGCGATTCTTTCGTTAAATATTTTTAGCAAAAATATCCGGTTGAAAATTTTGCTTAAAGTATGAAATTAATTATTATAAACAAAATGATTGTTGAAGTCAAATATTTTTTTACAGAAATAATAC